AAGTAAAACATATGGGTCATCAACCATCATGCCCACATGCTAAACATGACATTCTCCATAAAAATCATCAGAATAACAAGTAACAACTAATCAAAACTCCAGGTGAGGCCAGTAGTTGCTGTATTTCATTCTCCGGTAAAATTACTGTAAAACCAACAACAGCAGTGTTTGAAACCAACCACACAGTGTTATTTGTTTAAAGTGTTTTCAAACCACATGTTATTGCACCTTTGTGTATATAGCAGCACATTTAAAGTAAAAGTACGCAATACACTACTTGAGAATTCATTATTCAATTTTGCTCGTAACAACTCAATTAATCAAGATTTTCTTGCGAAGTTTAATCGTTACCAAGCACTAAAAAAAATTATTAGCAAACTGTACTTAAAATATAAATGAAGTACTTTATTTATTGTTAAGTAGTGTAATTTATAACAATATATCATATTCATTATTTTTGGGCAAGTTACTTTACTTAGTTAAAGAAATTGTAATAAAATACTGTACACTTATTACTCCTTTTAAAAAAAGTAATAATATTACTTTACTTATTACTGGATGATAAAAGTTACGTTACACGTTACGTTACTATATTACTTTCACTAACACCACCCCCTCACCCCCAAACAAAGCAGCCTCTCCCGACTGTTTAACTAATATCAGATTTAATAAAAGCAGCATGGAGTAAGGTTTTTATAAAACATAGAATGTTTCTTAATGCCACTGGCTGGAAAAAAAATAGAAAGCAAGTAAATCCAGACTTTTGAACTGCTGTTTTTCTACACATGTATTTATAAGTGCAGTATTCACTATTTTTACAAAACGTTACGTTGCTTAACACCAATCTCTCCCGACGTGTCCAAACATCGCTGACAGTAGCTGTTGGCATTTCTTTCACGTTGCTGTGCTGCTTCAGCAGATGATTCAATAAATTAAATGTAGAATTGTTTGCAGTTGAAAGTTTTTGCTGGTGAGTTTGCATCTTAGACTGACACAATAATGGTGATACTTAAAGCTGTGGAAAGAACGCCTCTCTCGTTCTCCATTCTTCATTTAGCTATTTGGCTAACAGCTTTCTTGAACAACATACCGCTGACTTGCCGCGCATTCACATCAAGAATGGTGCAGTCAGTAACGCATCATTACTTGGATCAGTAACTGTAATAATATTACTGTTACACTTACTGGGAAAAGTAATATTATAACAGTAACGCATTACTGAGTAAAGCGTAAAGCTAATAGGTACCTCCAAATCTTACTTAAGGGCAGTACTTGGGTAAATGTACGTAGTTTCTTTCCACCACTGCCAAATTGCAAAAATTTTGGGGGGGACTTAATTGCTGTAACACATATTACTTATGACAGAAATACAGTCATTGGAAAAGGAACACGGGGTTTTGGATTAAAGACCAGCCAGATAAACAGGATAAGGCCACATGGTCCGTGTTCCGAGGTGTCAGCACAAGACTGGCAAGATGAGAGGATGATCAGTCACAATGGACACTGTTTCTCTACAATGTCAGACTTTTTAGTGTGAAGATGAAAACCATCATCTATCATCTTGTTGTTGTCCCCCTGACGTGTATGTGTATAAATAACTGTATGTATTGTTTTACTTTATATGTTACCATATTTTAACACACAATTAATTTAATTATTTGTTAAGTTCTGTGTGTGTAGCATGGAGGGACTTAGGGCTGTCCCCGACTAAGGATTAACATAGTCAAATCAGAATTGTCAAGTCCTGCCTATAGTCGACTGATAGTCGAATCATGTGTGTTTTTGTGCACGGCGATTGCAAGCCGGGGGGGGGGAGTTCACACGGTGGCTCCACTTTAATCTTGAGAAGTCTCTAGTCTTGCAGTCTCTATTCATTCAACTTACGCTGTAAATTTTCAGCTAAACTGAGGCTTTTTGAAGACCCTTTTCTCTTTTTCTTTCTCTTTTTTTCTCTTTCTCTCTCATTCCCCGGTCTTTTGTGAGTTTTGCGTGCATGCCGTGCTGCTGACAACTGTATGCAAGTCACGGTTCCTCACAGGTCTATTTTAAGTAGCAATAAATTAAAAACAATAAAAAATTCTTTGTGTGGTTCATAAATTATCCAAAAGTCCCACGAGGTGCGGACAACTCGGCACAACACCAGTGAAGCTGAAGTTCGGTCTCTTCAGCAAGTGTTCCTCTTCCGACACACATACATGCTACGCTTACACATGCGCACTGACGCCTCAGGGTTAGGGTTACAGTTTAGGATTTATTTACACACAAAAACATTTAGTGAAAGTTTTATTATTTTTACATGTTAGCATTAAACGTTCAAATGTGTATTGTAGTAGGCTGTATATTAACTTATTGGGATAAAACTATTCTATGTAAAATCAGATGTTGAGCAAACCCATATCGCCAAAATGGCATGATCTTTTTTTGCTGCGACGCTTCGACTGTGAGATTGGGGGTCAGCCCTAGAGGGACTTTCTTTTTATTATACAACATTGTGTTGTCTAATGATAATTATAAAACGGGTAGCTCAGATCAAGCGATCTGATTGGTTCAAAGTGGACGTCGAATTCCTTTGGACAGATCTGTATCACTCCGCGACAAAGTAATGTTAGAAACCGGCTATCTGGAAGCTAATGGAAATGGAGACTCCAAAGGTAAACTTCGACCTCCTGGGAGGCCTTACTATGGAGGAGTGACTTGAGCAAACTTTGCTGGAAAAAAAGACACCTGTGAGACATGCAGAGCCAACTAAAGAGGAAGTCAACTCAAAAAGAACCGGAATGAACATAACACTGTGAAGCAAACCAAATGGGCAGTGAAATGCTTCGAAGAGTGGTGTAAGAACATCTTTACCCGAGAAGAAATCTTTTCTGCACTGTTGACAATGTTTGGTAAGAAATAATAACAGTGGGGATTTTTCTGTAGGTTATCAGGGTTCAGTATCTTGCCCAAGGAAACTCAGAGTCAGGGATTGAACCACCAACCTTCCAATTAACAGCAACCCGCTCTACCGCCTGAGCCACAGCCGCCTGATTAAGACATTATCTTGAAATGCATTTGGTGTTGTATGTACAGGTACATTGGTGAGCCAATGGGTGTCAATCAGCTGGCAACAATGTTGCCAAGAATATTCCAGCAAGCAGGGACATGGCAAAGATACACAAACCACTGTCTGCAGGTCTTGAAAGGAGAGAAATAATGGCTGTGAGTGAACACAAGTGTGAAGCCTCTCTCCAGAGCTATTGACATCCAAAACTTGGGGACCAGAGAAAGTGGAGTAATATGCAACACACACATCTCCACCTCACAAAACATGCAAGCTGAATACAAGTTACCAAAGTCAATCTACTGACGCAAAAAAATTTTTTTAGCGGCTGCACAATAAACGGCAACGTACAAGTAAATATAAATATATAGTTCTAATAATTCTAGCCCTTGATGTATGTTGCTTTGCAACCGTTGTGCACTATGTACCGGCAGGCTGAATTGAATTCAAAGAGAAGGGTTTGTTGATGAAATAATCAAGTCAAATTGTAATGTTTCTGTTACTTTCTTTTTGCCATACTTGGTAATTGTTTTATAAAAGCAATAGCTCACTTCAGGCTGTGGTGTACGCTTATTATATCACAGTTAAGGAACAAACTGCGCCCCTTTACTGCGATATAAGAAGAGTTTACCACAGCCTGTCGTGAGCTATTGCTTAAATAAACTACCATTTACCTTGAAATATAACAGTGTCACAATTCTAGAACTCATAATATCATAATGTGTTGACATCACTTTGCAATCCTGTGTTAGGTGTTCATTCTGTCAGTCAGATACTGTTCCTGTAGAGGTGTGATCAGTACAGAAAACTCTCTGAAAAGAATATTTTTTATCACAAAACGGGAGCTACCGGGCCAGTGTTTATACAAAGGACAACAAGGTAAGCTAGCTTTTGCTGGGAAATACTTTTATTTGATAGTTTTTTTGGATTCCGTACAAATTCTGCCATTCTTTTCCTGGGGATATGTTCTGAACACATGTTCCTACAGAAATCAGACACTATCTAAACCAAAGAACAACATAGTAATCCCACACCATACACCCTGTCCACACTTTATTGTGATGGCCTGTTCTACAAATTTTTCAGATTAAAGTGGTGGAATTATGCTAATTTTCAGGTTCAAAATCCTGTTTAGGGGTTGTAACAACTTTAGGTCCATTGACTGCCTGAAGGGTAGCTAGCTAGTTTTCCCACCGGTGTTTTTGAGGGCGTGTCGGACTAGCAGCTTGGCGAACATTATATAAGGCGCATTTAGCTTTCATCCCTGTGTCGTCACAGGGGTGAAAGGGAAGCGGCTGGACTACAAACGAGCTGTTTTCAGGCAGTTCAGAGCAGAGTTTTCTGTGGGAGACCCTTTGGGGTGGACTTTGGGCTTTTTCACTTTGCAAACCTTTTACATGCACAAAAAAGTTGTTTAACTCAATAAAGGAGAGGGAAAAAGCCAAAAAGCAGGATGTGACCTCTTTAAGACATCTTTTTGAAAGTGTAAATGTTTGCTGGTGTTGGTATTTTATGTCATAGAAGATGAATTACTAAGACCCTACACCTTGGTATCCAGTGTTTTAGGATATCTGCGAAGATGAAAATATTAAAGGTTTGGTTTCATTTGCTTCTTTTGGATTTTATTGAGAACATCACCATGACAGAACAACTAGCCCTAGACCAACCAGAGTGTTCTACAGAATTGGTGCAGACACCTGATGCTCTGCATATTGACTTGCCATGTGTTGATCCAGAGGATGTCTGTTTTACCGTCAATAAATGTTTGGTCCAGATAACAACACAGTAAGTGCTACAGCTTGAAATTTACAAGTATTCTTATGACATATCAAGTCATGGCCATGTTGTTAGGTAACAGTGTGGCAGACATCTGTGACTCCACTGTGTTCTCTATTTAAATGGGAATCAACTTCAGTTTATGCCACAACACTAACCGTCTTCTCTTACAGGCATTGGGAGTTAATGACAAAAGGCTTTGTGAGCGGTGCGATGACGACCGTGTTGGCCAATTCTTGCATGGATATTATTCAGAATATTGCAGAAGCCATCCTGGATGTTGTGATGCCACAGGTCTACAGATACATGAGAATCTACGGCTCCTTTTCTCCAACCGTCCTCGGTTTAACTGAGGACCGAATCCACGCCTGCCTTAGGGATTCTATTGAACTGGCACTGGCTAACTGCCTGAGGATCAAAGTGGAGAATTTTCTGGCCACCAAGGTGTTCTCCCAGTTGCTTTTGAGACACATTTCAAAGACGATCAACTCAGTCTTGGCTTTGTCCACTCAGACTCCCATTCTGGAGTCCAGACTCCCAGTGTTTTTTGTCAGCGGCTGTGTAACTTCCATTACAGACCTTAAAGATATGGTTTATGAGATTGTCACCATACTGACGGGAGCCCTCGAAGGTCGAGGTCAGTCAAGTCAGATTGCATTGTGTGAACCCAGTGGAAAAGTGGAGTTCCCCATATTTTGTTTAACTCCCAGAGGTGACTTGAAAAAAATTGTGAAGACTTACATAATCCGCATGGTGAAAGTCCTAAAAAATGGAGCCCAAATGCCACACTGTGAAATTAGCTCTTCCAACCATAGAGATATTTGTATTAGAGTTGGCACAAACATACACATTTTGCCTGTGGAACACAGTGAATCACATGGACAGCAGTCTGCTACATCTTCCTCTCCCTCTAGTGGGGTGGATGCCATACCAGGTGCAGTACCTGACAACGACACCACCGATTCTCATTCTGAGAGCTGTCCCAGTTCAGTTACAATAATTGGTGCAGCGGAGGACCATTCTTTCAGTCATTTAGGCCCCAATGAGATTGATTCTATTAAAAACATAGCTGACGAAATAGTCCATGCATTTTTGGGAGAAGATTTGCAGGGGGCTGCACAGGCATGCAAGTGTCAAAAAGCTGTCCACAGTGAGCAGGAGGTTGTTGACATTGATAAAATAAGAAAACTCACGGACAGAATCTTTAATGTTGTGATGAGTGGACGTGACTACCAGATTCCATCAATGCCAGCTGGAACACGCATATGCAAAACTGTGACCTGTAGAAAGCTGAGGAGAGGGAACTTCCCCAACCCAAGCATCATTGCTCGTGCCCTTTACATGAGGACAGAGGAGGTTGTTACTCGTTGTGCTGTGCAGGTTCACCTCTGGTCAGAACTACGCCAAGAGGGGTCTGATTGTCCATCTCCACTCACTTTTGACGAATTGTCTGATGATCCTGACTTTGTGCTTGTACCAAGTCATGCAGCAGGAGACCATAAAGAAGTAGTGTTTTTAAATCCTCCTTCTCATTGCAATTCTTCAATGTCGAGTCAAGATTCTAATGCCACATATGATGCAATCCCAAAGCCACCGGAGCCAACGCAGTCACAGTTGCATGGAGACATTGTGCACATATCCCTGTTGAGTCTGCTGGTTGGGGAGATGCTCACTGTCATTGGTATTAAAAACAGTGAAATTATTTTTGAGGTTATAAAGAAACTGATTAAACAGCTTCAAGATGTAGACCCTAAGGTGTACAACCATTTCCACGCCTCCCTGATGGGTCGGAGTTATAAAGACATTTACCAGAATGCCATCACCGACCTCCTGCTGGAATTTGGTTCTATACAAGTGATGCAGGAGGCAGTGAGATCAGGGGATCCAAATTTTGAGGAGGCTATTTCGAGAGAACTGAGGAAACAGCTGAGAATTCCTACATCTCCAGTGTCTCGTGGAAAGGCAGCCGAGAAAATGTTTGGTTTCTTCAAAACACTTAAAAGACTGTGCTGCAGAAAAACTTCAAAGAAGTCCGGCAAGACCACCACTGTTCTCTCCCTAACCAGTGACCAGGACGATAGCAAGCTACTGGGTAAATAACTTATCAAGGGGTTAGCTATAAAGTATTTGTATTTGTTTTTTACAAATCTAATTTACTAGCAAAACAACAAAGCCTGTATTTCAGTTGATATTTCTGTTGCTGGGTCCAGAAGAGACATCAGCCTTAAACACTCGTTTTAAATCTGATTCTGATTCATTGCTACATTTTGCAATCCTGCATGGAAGTAGTGGTTTATTGCAGTGTTGTGCGACATGTATTTTATGGAAATAACATCCAATCTTTTCCACATATGTATTGTCAGTCTAAAAGCCCACCTATGCAAATATAAGCTTTTCATTTACAAGTTAATTGGTTGTCGCAATCATAATGATGTAAGCCTTGTGAGTCAGTATTCGAAGTGAATATTTAATGGACACAAGAAGCAATTCGTATTAATTATGTATTTTTGTTTTTTCCACAGACCATCTGAGTACAGAAGAACCTCTGAAAGGACAAACCGTGCAAAGTGAGTCCATTTCCATTGCTAGAACACTGTGCAGACTATTCATCACTTGCTTCAGCCCAAAGAGCCAGTAATGCTTCTGGGATTTTGGGCTTCAGAGTGGCTATAGAGATGTGTTGTGAAGTTTCACCCAACCTCTTGTTGACTGGAGCCACTGCAGGTAAATTGTCAAGAATCCTCAAATTTATAATAAAAAAACATTCCTTCACATATTGCTTGATGCCACGCTAATTACAACCTACTACATCACAATTCATACGTTATGAATTGGTTCTATCTAAATAAAACTGAATTAATGCAATTGGCCTGGGTTTAGACAGATCCTTCCTTATTTGCTTATTGGAATCACTACTTTTTCCTTCCATCTACATGGAAATCTTCCCTCCTTCCACACTCTGTTATGAAGCTGTAGCAACTCCAAGAGCGCTCCTTCCCATAGATGCTTTAGTACAACATAGCATATTTAGAGAAGTATTATTACTCCCACCATCTCTGCCAAAGAAAATCGTTATCAATTATTTATAATCTGTTTCTTCTCCTGTCTAACACACCTGGATGCTGACTCATTGTTCTTCCCCTTTTACCTTTTTATGACACAATTTCTGAACTACATATCTTTGCGACTGACTTGGCCATGATCTCAGCCTTATTTCTTTTGAAGATTCCCTTTCCTACTCAGATGTCTTAACTGCATATTCCAAATTCCCTTCTGTCTCCTCCCATCTTTTTCTCATTCCCCATCCCTCTCCCACAGATGTTGTTCTTCCAACTTTCCCTCTTAGCATGGTGTACTGTTCTTTTCTCCACTGTCTGTGCCTTTTTATACTGAATCAGATGTTGCATGTTACGGGGTCTTTTAACTTGTCTGAATGCTCTGTTCCAGTTTCTTACATCCTGATGACACTCCTCTGTCCACCATGGTACCAGTTTTCTATCCATCCTATTTTTACTCCTGGATATATGTTTTTTATTTTTTTTATATAGGGAAAAACACTCTGAGACCGAGGTCTCATTTATGGAGGTGCCCTTTTTTACAAGTGCAGAAACAAAGTACCCGTAAAACTACACGAATCATCTATTTAATATAAAATAAAGCAAATTCAAAATTCAATTCAACCAGACACTTCTTAAAATGTGCTATGGACTCAGTATCTTTCAATCTAAGGTCATTCTGTAGAGTATTCCATCTTTGAGTGGCAAAAATGGAAAATTATGTTGTACTTATCTTAGAATGTGTCCAGGGAACCTCATTAACTAACCAGTCCTGTGATCATGTATGAGATGAGCTGTTTTTCAATTTAATTTTAGAGGTGAGATAATCTGGAAGTTTGTGTAGGATGGCTTGATAAATAAACCATAAAAAGTGTCTGGCCCTTCCCGAGCACAAGGAATCCCAACCAACAGCAGTATATAAAAGACAGTGGTGTGTATAAAAGCTTTTCCCAGCAATAATATGAGTGTCACCAAAATCTAACTTCGAAATGAAAGTGGCCTGAACAATGTCACGTCTACGTTGTGATGAAAAACATGTTCTATTTCTGTAAAAGAAAAAAAATTCTGATTTTAAATCTTTTACCAATTCACAGATATGGGTCTTAAAAGGGAGTTTTCTGTCTAACCAAATGCCAAGATATTTGTATAAAGAAACAGATTCTAAAACCAAATTTTCCAAAATGGTAAGTTTAAAGAATCCACACTTATGTTTCCAGATCTTGAAAACACCAAATACTCGGTTTTATTTAAAAAAAAAAAAACCAAGCAAAGATCTAAGAGGCAATTCTGCAAAACGTGAAAATCTGACTGCATGTTCAAAAATGCTTGTGCTAGAGAATGAGCTGCCGTGAACAACACTGTGTCATCAGCACAAAAGTGAAAATTACATTTACTCACAAGCTTACTAATATCATTTATATATATAGTGAATATAGGTATAGATCCATCTGCTGCCATAATAATTCCCAAGGTTTATCTGATTTTACATTCCTTCCATATCTCCAGAATTGATCCATTTTTGGATTCCACTTTTTCCCACCATGCACAAGACTGCAATGGCTGAATACTGTTGTTGCTGTCCAAACTTCCCAGTTACTAACTCCAGCCACAGGAGCATTTCAATTCAATTCAATTTTATTTATATAGGTGACTTATATACACTCTTCAGACATTCCTCTTTGCCTCTTCTCTCCCAGTCAGAGTGATGGCAGCTGGGCTTATAGGGATGTACTCTTGTTCAGGTTCAAGGCTAGCAGATTCTTGAGTCACATATGCAAGGGCGTCGAAGTGGGAGGGAAAGTGGGACTAATTAAGCCAGGGCCCCAATGGTGGGAGGGCCACTGAAAAGCCTGAAAAGCAAGTAGTTTCATAACCAAGTTAAAATTGGCTGAAAAAATCGGTTAGGAGACTGAACTTTGTGCCTTACCAGTGTTATGGTGTGACTGAGGATGGCAAATAATGTGAGTGGGTTGACCTACACTGAACAAAATTATAAACAAAACACTTGTTATGTTTTTGCCCCCATTCATCATGAGCTAACCTCAAAGATGTAAGACTTTCTCTATGTACACAAAAGGCCTATTTCTTTCAAATATTGCTTACAAATCTGTCAAAAGCTGTGGCAGTGAGCACTTCTCCTTTGCCGAGATAATCCATCCACCTCACAGTTGTGGCATATCAAGATGCTGATCAGACAGTATGGGTATTGCACTGGTATGCCTCAGGCTGGCCATAATAAAATGCCACTCTTAGATCTTTGAGTTCAGCTCATGATGAATGGGGACCAAAAGTGTTGCATTTATAATTTTGTTCAGTGTAGGACAGAGCGTTAAATATGTTGGTGCATAGCATATGCCCATGTTGGAGGCATGAACAAACAGCTGATTTTAGTATTGTCACTGCATATTTCTAAGACCCAAAAGAATCTATAACAGAGTTTCTCAAATGTTTTTAGAAGTTATGGAAATCAAATGCTGGCATAAAACTGAGCTATGTGAACCACTACCAGTACAAATTCAAGTTAACTGACTGCTGTCCAATATAGCAACAATAGTTTAAATAAATAATTAAAAAATGCGAATAGAGACAAACATAGACTTGAAGTCTTAGAGAAAAGCGGAGGGTTTCATGATGAGAGGAAGAAATCTCTCCTCTCCTCATAATGGCTCATAGGACAGCAGAGTGAGGTGCTCTGCAAAAAACACACGCTATACATACACACACCCAGAAACAAAAGAAAAGGCAAGTGTCATAGATGAAATAAAAAATAAACTGGACACTGAGCTGACTGTAGGGTCAGAAATGATTTTTACACTTAGTAGTATATGTCACCCGGCCAGTCTAATATGTTGCAGTATCAGGCTCAGGCTACTGAATCAGATAAACCAGCCAAACAACCCAGTTTTTTTCACTCCCCTACAAATACATAGTTATGTCAATCAGTATTGCTTCTGTGTGCAAGCCAAAATTAAATGCATAAATTAAATTGTCTAATTCAGTTGCAATGTGTGTTGACAATATACTTTTACTATATTCATTCTATAGTTCTATAAATGGGTACAATTTGTGTAGTTGTTGCTGGAATTCCATTGAGCTTGTATCAAAGGTTGTGTCAGGCAAATTGTGTTACACTGAGCCATAATTTTTCAGTGTATGTTTTGTAGAGAGGTTTGGTAGTATTCTACTAATCTATTTCTGATGGCTTATTTAGAGCTTCTGGATTAAATATTGATTCAAACTACTTTATTGTTGCAATTTAAAGCATACTTGTGACCAGTTGATTTAATCTATAGCCGTTTTGTTCAGAATTGAGAGAGGCAAATGTGGGCTTGGGGATTTTTTTAAATCACTCTCACCCACGTTAACCTTGAGGTCACAGCACAGCATGTCTGATAACAACACACACACACACACACACACACACACACAGAGGAACACACAGCCCTTAGTGCTCCTTTGGGTTGTTTACATTCCATTTCTAACACTGAGTGACTTTATTTGCAGGCATCAGAGCAAACTCATATTTTATACATTTCCTAAATTGTAATTGCTTTTCCCCTTGGAGTTTATTAAGATCTTTATGTACAGCACTGTTTACATTGAACCACATTATGGAAGTTTTGCCACAATTTAGGCAATATTATATACCTCAAAAAACAGTTAAAATCATAAACTGTTATTGATTATTTTCTGTAACACCGCCCCTAGCCAGTGATACATCTATATACTTACTATATTTAGCTAATAAACCTGGAGAATTCTAATCTGGCCTCTTTACCTCATTATTCTAAATGTTAAATAGTGGTGCATTTGTGTTCAGCATTATCTATCTGATAGTCAGTATTATTTCTACAAAACAGGCCCAGAGGTAGGGAGAGCCCTTTGACTTTGATGACCTGAGGGAGGCATGAACAGACTCTATTCTCCTGCTAAAACATTTGAAAGAGGTCACAGAGCATTGCTTCCCAAGCTATCAGCCTTGGCATCTGCAAGGCTGCTCTCACATCAGCACCAGACAATGATCTGCTTTTTGTAGATAAACTGCTTAATCATGGGAACATTAGTTCAAACACATGACTGTAATTACCACCTGCCTGCTGTAATGCTAACACATTCTCACTCCCGACTCGTCACATATTAATGCTTGGTCAAGGCCCTTTGGCATCACTCTTGAACGCCCTGTGTACCCCCCTTTAGCATCATTTTTAGACATTTAAGGCTCCGCGGTCAAGTTAGCAGCGCTTAGCAACAACAAATATGCAACATCCAGTAAAGTTATAATAGAAGTTATTAATAAATATGCAACTTCCGGTTAGACTTTGAAAATAAGACGGAACATCGCCATTTTGAAACGGTACGTTATTAAAGTTGTGAAATGTTGCAATTTGGTTAGGTTTAGGCAACAAAACCACTTGGTTAAAGTTAGACAAAGATCATAGTTTGGGTTAAAATAACTAAGTATGTCAGTTAACACATAAGTTAACTAACGTCACTAGCATAACTTACACAATTTAAGTAACTCACGTAACTTCAATAAAAATATTTAATATTGACTTTTTGTTTCACAAGTGACTGAACGTCTCGGGTTACGTGTGTAACCCTTGTTCCCCGAGAAGGGGAACGAGACACTGCGTCGGTGACGACACTGTGGGAACACCTCTGGGCGTGGCAGGGCTGAATCATGAATGAAACTACTCCAATCCTATTGGCGTT